CCCCAAAACCCCAAAACCCCAAAACCCCAAAACCCCAATAGATACAAGGGAAATTGAATAAAATATATAATTTAACACGCGGAAATGGGTAAAGACAAACGTGTCCAAGCCAAGCTTAGAAACCAGAAGGTCATTAATAAGGAGATCCAAAGGAGACTGGATGAGGGTCAGATTCTCCTCCCTGAGCAGGAAGGATATCTTGAGGCCGAAGGCATGGAGAGAACCATAAAATTTAGCCAAGATGAGCTCAAAAAGCACCTGCCTTCTGATAATGTTGATAATATATTCGATCTGGACCTTGAGCATGGGCCATACAGCATCGATTATACTAGGAATGGCCAATACCTCTTGCTTGCAGGAAGAAAGGGCCATATTAGTATGATGGACTGGAAGAAAAAGTCCCTTGTGACTGAGTTCTCAGTCAATGAGAAAATTAGAGACGTTCAATTCCTACAAGACCAAAAGTTATTTGCAGTTGCACAGAAGAAATATACTTTTATTTATGATAACTCTGGAATGGAAATCCATTGACTTAAGCATCATGTTGAGCCAAAATTTCTGAAATACTTGCCTTATCACTTTTTGCTCGTCACAGCTACTCTGAGGGGCCATTTGAAGTACCAGGATGTGTCTACTGGAGAAATAGTCTCTGAAATAAAGTCTAAGAAGGGAGAGCCCTTCAGTTTATGCCAAAACAAGCAGAATGGAATCATGCATCTTGGGCATTCTTATGGAGGAGTTACTCTTTGGTCGCCGAATATGGGCTCTTCGTTGGTTGACATCTTGTGACATCCCTCTTGTCCAGTCACTTCCATCTCCATTGCAAACAATGGAAGGTATATGGTGACGACTGGGACAGATTCCAGAATGAAGGTCTGGGATTTGAGGAAATATGAGTGTGTTCATGACTATTTCACAAGAGGACCTGCTTTTGCCACTGATATTTCACAGAAAGGCCTGCTATCAGTCACATATGGCAACACAGTTGAGGTTTGGAAGGACTGGGAGGCCGAAAAACAAAAAGAGCCATACATGTCCCACAAGGTACAGAAAGGAAGCTCAATCCTTACTTGTAAATTCTCTCCATTTGAGGACTTTTTGGGACTTGGTCACTACAAGGGATTCTCATCGATCATCGTGCCTGGCTCAGGTGAGGCAAACTACACATTCGAAGCGATGGCACCAAGGAAGGAAGCTCTGGTGCATGAAGTCTTAGAGAAGCTCCAGCCATCCACAATCTCGCTGGACCAGGCTAAGATTGGTACTATCGACAGAGCCAGCAAGGAGATCAAGGAACAAGAGAGGAAAGAAGAGCTCGCTGAGTGGATGAGCAAAAAGAAGACCAAGGAAAAGAAGAAAAAGACCAAGGGAAGGCAAAAAATCGGTAAACTTAGTCAATCTTAATACATAGGTAGGACTATGGCTCGGTCACAGAGACAACAATTTGAGAAGCAGAGAGACTCAATGAGGCAAGAAATGGAGAAGAAGTACAACAAAGACCGAGAAGAAAAGGAGCTTATCCATAAAGACCTTGCCTTCTTGGAAGGATTTGCACCCAAGAAGGACGAGGAGGAAAAAGTTAACGATGAATAAAAGAATTGGGTTTGCAATTCGTTCAATGATGGCTACCATCGTTGGGGTTTTGGGGTTTTGGGGTTTTGGGG